TGATGGTTCCTCAATCAAATTAAGAATAGAATTACCATATGATCCAACAATTCCAGTTCTGGGTATATACCCAAAAGCACTGAAAGCAGGGTCTTCAAGAGACAACTGCACAGCCATGTTCACAGCAGTGTTAAAGAAAGAAGAGAGAAACGTGAAAAGCAGCTCAACAGTCAAAAATAGGTTTATTTTGGAGAATAAACCTGAGAGGGGCTTCTGGGCTGATTTTGGTCAGGACCACTTTCTTTTACAGGCTAAGATTATTTAAGGGGTCAGGGTGAGACTGCTTATCACAGGCTTGGAATGCTTCCGTGTGGGGAAGAATTTCACAGTGGGGTTGGAATGTCTCTGGTCAGAGGGGAGGTTATCTTGGTGCTGACATCTCTCTGGCTGGAGAGGGCGCTATCTCAGGGCTGGCATGTCTCTGGTCGGGGCGGGGGAGGTCTGGAATGTTTCTGGTCAGAGATGTTATCTGTGGTGTCTGGTCATGCTGACCTTAGCCATTAGACTGATGCCCTTTGGATTGGGGCAGTTTTTGATCAAAGTGAACTTTAAAATGACAGTGCTTTTCCAAGATGGCAATGCTCCTGCTCTGCCAGCAGCACTGTGCACAATAGCCAAGAGGAGAAAGCAACTTAATGACCACAAACAGGTGAACAGATAAATAAAACATGGTATACACTTATAATGGAATATTATTCAGCCTTTACAAGGAAAGATAGCCTGTCACATGCTACAACATGAATGAGCCATAAGGACATCATGCAAAGTGAAATAAGCTATTCACAAAAGGACCAATACTGTGTGACTCCATTTATAGGGGTTATCTAAAGAAGTCATATTCATAGAAACAGAAAGTAGAACAGTGTTTACCAAGAGCAGAGAGGAAGAGTGCAGGAAGTGTGGGTTAACTGGTATAGAGATTTAGTTTTGCAGGATGAAAAACTCCTGGAGAGCTGTTTAACCACAATGGGAATGTACTTAACATTACTTTAACGTTACTGCAGTGTACACTTAAAAATGGTTAAAATGGTAAATGTTATATTATGTGGTTTTTGTACCAGAAGACTACAATGAGATGCTTTTTTTTTTTTCTTTTTTTTGAGGCAGAGTCTTGCTCTGTTACTCAGGCTAGAGTGCAACGGCTCGATCTCAGCTCACCGCTCCAGGGTTTAAATGATTCTGCCTCCCGGGTTCAAATGATTCTGTGCCTCAGCCTCCTGAGTAGCTGGGATTACAGATGCCCACCACTACGCCTGGCTAATTTTTGTATTTTTAATAAAGACAGGGTTTCACCACTTTGGCCAGGCTAGTGTTGAACTCCTGACCTCAGATGATCCATCCACCTTGGCCTCCCAAAGTGCTGGGACTACAGGCAGAACCACAGTGTCCAGCCTACAATGAGATACTTCTACATACCTTTTTTACGTGATAATACCTAAGAGTTGGCAAGGATGTGGAGCTAGCAGAATTTTTATATACTTCTGTACATCGGTAGAATCATATTAGGAAACTGTTTGGCAGTATTTACTAAAGCTGAGCTTACCCTATTATCTAACAATTCTATCCACAGATATATATCGAAAGGAAATGTGTATATGTGTGTTCCAAAAAGTCATATTCAAGAATGTCCACAGCAGCATTATTCATAACAGTGAAAAGGTATAAACTATGGAAATTCTACTTAAAAACATAACCAAGACAGCACTATCTGCCTTGTGATGAAGTCAGGATTAAATGAGAGGGCAAATGGAAAGCCCATGTAGTCATTTACAGTAAGACAGACCCTCCCCCCCCCACCACCATATACACTGAAAGCAAATAACAATGCTGGGTTCAAAACACATTTTTTGGGCTGGACGCAGTGGCTCATGCCTGTAATCCCAGCACTTTGGGAGACTGAAGCAGGTGGATCATCTGAGGTCAGGAGTTCGTGACCAGCCTGGCCAACATGGTGAAAATACAAAAAAAAAAAAAAAAAAAAAAAAAAAAAAAAAAAAAAAAAAAAAAAAAAAAAAAAAAAAATACTAAAAAAAAAAAAAAAAAAATTAGCCAGACACTGTGGCAAGTGTCTGTAATCCCAGCTACTCAGGAGGTTGGGGCTAGAGAATTGCTTGAACCCAGGAGGTGGAGCTCGCAGTGAGCCAGGATCCCACCATTGCACTCCAGCCTGAGCAACAAGAGCAAAACTCCATCTCAAAACAAAAACAAAAACAATTTTCACAAGCACATGCATTAGCTGTAACAAAACAAAGGAATGATCAGGCATGGGGCTGAGTGACAAGTATGACGCTGGCTTTCAGCTTGAGGCATCTCTCTTGACCAAAGATGAGAAATCTACTAGGAAACTGTTCTCCAACAAAGCCAGGACTCCAAAAACCTGACTCCACAGAATAAGCTAAACCAGAATCACATCCTTTCCTCCCTCTTCAAAAGACTGCAAGGAAAGCTGTCTCAAACCTTAGTGTTAATGGAGAGAGGTTCACCTGAGAAGTTGTAACCAAAAGCTGGCTCTTGCCAGACTAGATTTCCAGACCAAATTCATAGCAGCTGATGGAAAAAAAAAAAAAAAAGTGCTACCATTTAGTTTAAAGACTGGCATTGCCTCTAGTTGCCTGGTAGAAATAAACAAAATACTCTCTTGAGGAATCTGTCTTCATCTAAGACTTGAAAGAATTCCAACAAATAAATTTCCCCCCAAAACGAACAACTCACCATAAAAAAAAATCACTAAACCCACAAAGAATCAAGGCATGAGACACAATAGCAGAAACCAGCCAGCAAAAATTTCAGACATTGGAATACTGGACATAGATACATACATGCATACATATGTAGAAAGATGCATAGAGATATATAAAAATAATTGGCCAAGCACGGCGGCCCACACCTGTTATTCCAGCACTTGGGGAGGCCAAGGCGGGTGGATCACTTGAGGAGGACAGGAGTTTGAGATCAGCCTGGCCAACATGGCAAAACCCCATCTCTACTAAAAGTGCCAAAAATTAGCCAGGCATGGTGGTGTGGTACACACCTGTAATCCTACATACTCAGGAGGCTGAGACAGGAGAAACACTTGAACCCGGGAGGCAGAGGTTGTATTGAGCTGAGATCACACCACTGCACTCCAGCACTTCAGCCTGGGTGACACAGTGAGACTCTGTATCAAAAAAATAAAATTATTATTATGATGCTTATTATGTCTTAAAAATGAAAAACAAGTTTGAGCTATAAAGAATAACTTTTAGAACTTCTACTAATAAAAAATATATTTGCCAAAATGTAAAAGTCAAATAGAGTAGATTAAAGCAGATTAGACCCAGCTAAAGAAAGAATTATTAAACTGAAAGATAGACCAAAAGAAATTACCCTAAATGTAGCAAAGAAAGATAAGGAAAAGAAAATATGAAAAAGATATTAAGAGACATGAAGATAGAGCAAGTTGATCTATATCATACATTTAATAGTAATTCCAGAGGGAGAGAAGAGGGAGAATGGCGTAGAAGAAATATTTGATGAGAACTTTCCAGAGCTGAGAAAAAGAATCCACAGATACAAGAATCCTAAAACCCAAAATAAGATCAGTAAAAAGAAACCAACATCTAGATATATAATAGTGACACTGTATAACATCAATGATGAGAATGTTTTAAAAGCATTGAGACAGAGGAAACAGATCACCTTTGAAGAAGCCACAGACTGACAGCTGACTACTTAACAGGGACAATGGAAGTCAGAAAATAACTATTAACCTAGAATTCTATACCCAGTGAAATTATTTGAAAAATAGAGCAGGCCAGGAGTGGTGGCTCATGCCTGCAATCCCAGCACTTTGGGAGGCCAAGGTGGGCAGATCACCTGAGGTCGAGAGTTCCAGACCAGCCTGGCCAACATGGTGAAACCCTGTCTCTACTGAAAATACCAACAAATTAGCCAGGCATAGTGGCGCGTGCCTGTAATTCCAGCTACTTGGGAGGCTGAGGCATGAGAATCACCTGAACATGTGGGGTGGAAGTTGCAGTGAGCCAAGATTCCACCACTGCACTCCAAGCTGGGCAACAGCCTCTCTCAAAAAAAAAAAAAAATAGAGCAAAATACAGACAAGCAAAAACTGAGAGTTTGTCACCAAAGGACACTGAAGTACTATACTGCAGGCAAAAGGAAAGTGATCTCAAAAAGAAGACTTAGGCTGGGTGCAGTGGCTGACGCCTATAATTCCAACATTTTGGGAGGCCAAGGCAGACAGATCACCTATGGTCAGAAGTTCAAGACCTGCCTGGCCAACATGGCAAAATCCCATCTCTACTAAAAATACAAAAAGTAGCCAAGCATGGTGTCAGGCACCTATAATCCCACCTACTGGGGAGGCTGAGACAGGAGAATCACTTGAATCTGGGAGGCAGAGGTTGCAGTGAGCTGAGATCGAGCCACTGTACTCCAAACTGGGCATCAGAGTGAAAGTCCATCTCAAGAAAGAAAGAAAAAGAAAGAGAGAGAAAGAAAGAAGGAAAGAGAAAGAAAGAAAGAGAGAGAGAAACAAGGAAAGCGTTGGCTTTTCCAAGCAGGAGTGTCAGCACCTGGGAAGCATCCTCAGTACACGGCTTTATGGTTGGCTCTAGAAGCTCATGTAGCCTGTGAATTAAAGCACCCCTGAAAATGGGGTAGGCGGCCCTCATCTGCATCCCTATAGCAGAAAAGCCAGCCTTGGTTAGCTTAGCCTCACAGCAGCCTCAGCTCATGGTTCCAGCCCCAGATCTTCCCCCAACGACCATCACTAGGTTACTCTCCTTTGGGGACATCAGTGAAAGCAGCTCTTTCAAAGGCAAAGGGAAAAGGAGCTTCCTGGAGATTGGGGGACTGCTTCAGCTCCCATAAAGATGCGTCTCCTGACTTCTACCATGGAGTCCTGTTCCCCTCATCCCAAGCAGAGGACGGTCCCAGGATCCCAGGGGCTGTGAGCCCAACTGTCCCAAGCGTGGGAAGAACAATCTGAACAAACAACATTCATTCCATTCTCCTCAGAGTTTGGAAGTGATCACTTGTTTTATTTTTCTGCAAACCCTGTGTGTGCTGTTCCTTTGACTTGTTTCCTTGGCAACAAAGAAAGAGGAATGATGGTGCTATCAGAAAGAAAGTACAGGTTGTTTGTTTTCTCTTTACATCCTCAGGGGGGCTGAGGCTCTGCTTCGAAGCAGTCACGACTCCTCCGTTCTAAATAACTCACAATGGAGACCTCCAGACTCTCCTAGTTTTGTTTAACAGGAGAGAGGGAGGGCCCGGGCTGAAGCATAGCTTAAGAATTTTTGCATGGCCACAGTGAAAGGCAAGAAACAGTTCTTTAGGCACAAAGCCAAGTTAGACACCTTCCTGGCAAATGGCACCTCCACAGTTGGTCTTCTGCAGTCCCCGGAGGCCCCAGATCCACAGTGGCTGCTGGGCTCTCTGGCCACGAGGCAATGACCAGCTCACCTGTGTTGGTCACTTGGCTCCTGGGTCTGAGAGGAAGAGGGGTCTTCTGCCACTTGGGATTTGCCTGCAAGCACCTGCCGGACCCTCTGCATCCCTGGAAAGGGGAAGTGAGGGGCCAGCTGGCACTGATGGCCTGGTGGGTGGGGACAAACAGCAGAGGGGAGAGTGAAGGCGGCGGTTAGGACTGGGCTGGGAAGATGGACTGCTCACCCAGGCGAAGCCGGTGCGCCTGGTCCGAGAAGACGAAGCGGAACCAACCAGGCTCTTTACACTCAAAGGCTTTGCCAAAGGACAGCAGCACCTTGTTGTCCAAAAAGCGGCGCCAGAGCAGCATTTCCTCCTCAAAGGTGCCCTTGGGCAGGTACTGAGACAGGGGAAGGTGCTCAGGACATAGCTGAACCCCCTCACCTGCCGGAGGGAGGCCCAGATCACCCTCCCAGCCTGCACCTGCAGCAGCATTACCTTCCTCAAGTCCACCCAGATGAAGAAGCCGGCCCCACGATTCAGGAAGGGGATCCCCAAAGCCCTGAGCTCTTCCGAGACATAGGTGTGGGCAGCCTTGAGCCGGGCATAGTTTTCTGGCAGGTACACCCGGTTGATCCAGTCTGTTTGAGTGAAAGAGAGGCCAAAAGATTAATCTCTCATCAACCCTCTACTGGGTCCCGCGAGGCTAGATGCTGAAAAGAAAAAGGTCACAAGCTGCCGGAATGCTGTGAGTCTCTCCTCCAGATGGTTGCTGTGGTGGGGAGGATTACGGAAGGGATGGGGAAAAAACGATGGAAATTCAGTGTTCAGTGTAAAGCACCTTAAACCCAGATACTCAGCCCCGACAGCTCTGGGTCCCACATCCCCTTGGGGGTCCAGAGCACGAAGTCCCCCAGGATAAAGAATCGAACCAAAGGTTGATCTAGTCTAAAGTTCTAGAGTGATGCTTTGCAGTCCCACAGACCAAAGTTCAGTTCCCAGTGTGGCCACTGACAAGAGGTGGGTCCCTGAGCACCTTCGCCTCTCCGATCTCCATTGTTTATACTGACTTTTTGTTGTTGCCATACAGTTCTATGCATTATAGTACTTATATACATTTATGTAACCACCACCACAGTCAGGATTCTGAGCAGCTCCGCTATCCTAAAGAATACCCTGATGCTTTTCATAGTCACATCAGCCCCTTCCCTGCAAGCACTGATCTAATCACCATCAGTGCAGTTTTGCTTTTTCCAGAATGTCACGGACTTGGAATTATATGGCATGAAATCTTTTGAGGCTAGCTGCCTTCACTCTGCAGGAGTCCTTTGAAATCATCCCATGCTGCCATGGATGTTACTGCAGAGTAGTATTCCATTGAGTGGAGGGGCCACGGTTTATGCATCCCCACATCTGTGGAAGGACATTTGGGTTGCTTCCAGTTACGGGTGATTATGAATAAAGTAGCAGTTATGGGTGATTACGAATGAAGCAGAGGTTATTGTGTCACCATCAGGGTCAATATCTAGGAGTAGGATTGTGGAATCACTTGGCAAGTGTCTGTTGAACTGTACAAGAGATGCTGAATTGTTTTCCAAAGTGGCTGAACTACTTACACTCCTCCCAGCAATGTATGAGACTTCCAGCTGCTCCTTGTCTTTGTCAACATTTGATATTGTCACTATCTTTAAAACTTTTAGCTACTGTAGTGAGTGGGGTAGTATCTGGTCCTCATTTCCCTCATTTGTAAAATAATGGGGAAAATACAGGAATTCTTGCTTCCCAGGACTCTGGAGAGAATGAGATGATACAGCAGGTGCATTTGCTAGGCTCAATAAATGGTGGCATTTACCTTTGCTATGTAAACTCATTATCTGAATCTAGGAACAGAGTAGATTCACAGCGAGAGAGATACTTCCATGATAACAATTTTTCCTTAGAAGCTTCTGCTCCGTTTTTGTTGTTATTTTAAAGACAGGGTCTCACTGTTGCCTGAGCTGGAGTGCAGTGGCATATGAAAGCTCACTGGAGCCTCAGCCTCATGGGCTCAAGTGATCCTCCCACCTCAGACTCCCAAAGTGCTGGAATTACAGGCAAGAGCCACCATGCTCGACCCTGCTCTGTTTTTTCAGTGCTCACAGCTAATCATAATGAGTTCACATTAATCAAGTGCCTATTATATACCTATTCTAACTGAATTATAAATCACACTAATCTGTTATAAGACAGGTACCATTATGATCCCTGTTTTACAGATGAGGAAACTGAGGCTCCTACAGATAAGGAGATGAAGCAAAGTGCCACACAGCCAGGAAGTGACCAAAAAGGGTATGGACCCAGTCTGGACCCAGAGCCGGTACTGTCAAATCCTACCCTAAATTCTTCTCCTAGGAGAAGCATCTGCAATTCCTGGCTGTTCCCAGGCTAACTCCAACCCTCCTCCCATTCTCAGGTCACCAGGCCCAGGCAGTCACCACGATCCCGGAGCAGCTGTGCCATCTGGTACTGGACCAGGCCACTGAGGCCATGGTAGCGGCAGAGGGAAGCCACAGCAGTGGCCACGTCCTGGTTTTCTGTGTACAACGTGGCAAAGCGGAGCCCAGACATCCCGAAGTCCTGCAGGAAGAAGCACCCTAGGTGGTGGCCAGCGCTTCATGGAGGAAGCTGGTTCCACCCATCTCCTTGCCCTCCCACCCTCCTGACACCCCCAAGAATAGCCCGGAACTCACCTTGCTGGTCGCCCACATCACATGGGTCCTCTGGGGGTCAGGCAGCCTGCAGAGAGCACACCATGGGAATAGAGGCAACACAGAACCATGGGAGCCCACATGTGTTTGGTTGAACAAATGAAGAGATGGGTGACGGAATCTAGTTTTTGAATCTAGTTCTGGTTCCGGGACAAGCCCTGGTTTCATCTCTTTGAACCACCAATTCCCATGCGTCTTTTAGAGCGAAGGTCAGCAAATGACAGCCCATAGGCCAAACCTCACCTGCTGCCTGTTTTTTGTAAATAAAGTTTTATTGGAACACAGCCATGCTCATTCATTTGGGTCTATGGCAAAGTTGAGTGAGAGACCATATGACCTGGAAAGCCAAAAATATTTACCATCTGGCCTTTTGCAGGAAAAGTTTGCTGGCCCCTGATGGAGAGCCTAGCTCAAATGTCACTCCTCCAAGATACTTTCCCTAACCACTCCCCCTGGGACCAGGCCAATCAGGTACCCTAAGCAGATCCTCTCACAGCTCCCAGGATGCTCCCTTCTAACATTCATTACAGCCATAAACTAATGGCTGGATGTGCATTTAGCTGCCCGAATTTTTTTCTGGCTAGAAATTAAAGTTCCACACAGGAAGGGCCTACGTCTTTCTTGTTCTCTATTGTACCTCCAGCGCCTGGCACAGTGCCTGGCATGAAATCAATGCCCAATAATTTTTTTCTTTTCTATCTTTTTTTTTTTTTTTTTTGAGACAGAGTTTTGCTCTTGTCACCCAGACTGGAGTGTAGTGGCACGATCTCGGCTCACCACAACCTCTGCCTCCCAGGCTCAAGCGATTCTCCTACCTCAGCCTCCCAAGTAGCTGGGATTACAGGCATGCACCACCACGCCGGGCTCATTTTTTGTATTTTAGTAGAGATGGGGTTTCTCCATGTTGGTCAGACTGGTCTTGAACTCCTGACCACTGATGATCTGCCCACCTCAGCCTCCCAAAATGCTGGGATTAGATGCTTGAGCCACCGCACCTGGCCTAATTTTTTTTTTTAATGACTAATAACGGACAATCACTTTTTTTTCTGTGCCTCACTTTCCTAATCCAAAAAATAAATGGGAATAACAATCCATGCTCCATCTACTCCTCGGGGCTTTGTGAGGACGAGAAGAGAGGGCTAGTGGGAAGGAACTGGCAGGGCTAAGGTTCTGAACAAACAGCAGGAACTGTCAGAGCCCCTGAAGGTCCGATTCACTGACTGTACACATGATTTGTTCCCCGCTTTCTTTTTTTTTCCTCACAAAAACAGAGCTCACTGTGTTGCCCACGATGGTCTCAAACTCCTGGGCTCAAGCAATCCTCCCACCTTGGCCTCCAAAGTGCTGGGATTACAAGCATGGGCCAGTGTGCCTTGAGGATGATCTGGTCCAAGAGTTCCAAAGGCATTTTGGCCACAAATGCTTTTCTTACACTAAACCTAATGAAAAAGCCCAACATTTAAACATCCAGAAGTTCTTGGCACATACAAGGGGCACCAGAGGTGCTGAGTGAATGAATGAATGAGTAAATTAATGAATAATTATTGAATAATAAAACTGGAGCAACTCTGGAGGTAAAGGAAACAGCAGAGAGGCCAATTTCCCACCCACTCAGCCCTAACTTCAGGAATCCTGAAGCCCCTTCTTGGAGTTCTGAGAAGTTCCACAGAATAACTTGAAAATCACTGATCTAGCTCAACCCTCCCCATTTCTCATTGGAGATCTGAGGACCAGTGGGATCAGCTCGGTGGAAGTGGAATTGCCCTGGGCAGGCCACGCCTCCTGGGCTGAGCCCGAAAGTGGCCAGGGCTCCATGGAATAATGAGGACTGGGGGAGTGAGCTGTGTGGGGGAGCCTCACCTTTCCAGGCTTAGGACACTGCGGTACCCAACCGACTCCTCAAACACGGACAGCATGTAGACCTCGTCCACAATCACATGCAGCTTGTGCCTGGAGTGAGGCCGGGGTGGGGAGGAGAGACTTAGTGTGTAGGGCAAATGCGTCCCGCAGGGCAGGGAGGCAATGCATCAGAAATCCAGAGGGGCCGGGGTCTAGCCCAGGGTTACCAAACTTGTTTTTACCAGAACACCCTTCCTTAGTCTATTTTTTCAAACAGAAAGCCACACATATGGAACAGGCAACAGAGGAGATTTTGAAGCCCCGGAGGGGAGACAGGGAGCCCTCAGGCACCTCCTTGGAGGGGCAGAGTCGTGCACAAGGGCTGGAGTCAGGGGCCCAGGTTCAAGTCCGGCTCCACCCCTCACTTGACCACTCTAAGGCTCAGTGAGCTGGGCGTGATAACAGCATCAGAACTTGAAAGCGTTGTTGTGAGGATTGTATGAGGCACATAAAGTGCTTAGCAGGGTGCCTGGCGCCTAGAGTGTGCGGTAATTGATAGCTACTGTTATAAAGAGTGAGGGAGAAAGAGGAATGCCATCCCACAAATCCCTGCTTCCCCGCTCCAGGAAGGGCCAAAGCAAGTAACAGCCCACAGCAGGGTGAAGAGGGTAGAAAAACCTGCACCAAACCCGCATCGGAACCCCAGGCTGCCCAGATGCTCCGTTGGGTGAGTGTGCGGTGCCTCACCTCTTGGCAAACACCAGGTACTCCTGCAGCTCTTCCGGGGAGTAGACGTCACCCAGAGGGTTCTGGGGGTTGATGAGGATGAGGCCTTTGACCTTCACACCCTGAAACCATCCATGGGAGCAAGAGACCCTCAGCTCTTCCCCAAGGCCAGAGCCACACAGGCCAAGTGGGCTGATCACTGGACGGCTCCCAGGGAGATTTGAGAGGGACATGTTCATAACCCAACATTCAGCAAACAAGTGGGACACAGAATTACATCTGCAGATAAAGGCAGAGGACAAGGCCCAGAGTGAAATATGCCCAAATGCCAGTAGGGCATCTTTGACGGTAGAATTTTGGGATGGGTCTTTTGCACTTTCAAAATTCCTACAGTGAGCATGTACAGCTTTCATGGCTGAGGTAAAAAAAAAAAAAAAAAAAAAAAATTAAGTAGATTTTTTAAAAGTAGACTGGAAAGGAATACTGGTCTCTGCTCTTCTTTGGGAGTCCTCAAATCCCCTCAAAGTGAGCAAGACTGCCCCCTCAAAATACCAGGGAGACTTGTTAAACCACAGATTTCTTCACTCCATACTTGACCCACTGGATCAGAATCAGATGGATCAGGGATGGGGGTATTTTTAGTGATGCTCCCTGGTTGATTCTCTGTGAACTGTATCTTTAGTGATGCTCCCTGGTTGATTCTCTCTGAACTGTATCTTTAGTGATGCTCCCTGGTTGATTCTCTCTGAACTGTATCTTTAGTGATGCTCCCTGGTTGATTCGCTGTGAACTATATCTTTAGTGATGCTCCCTGGTTGATTGTGAACTGAGGTCTGAGAGTCTGTTTTGAAAGTGAAGACCCTCCCTGGGCAGGGTCCTGCCTGACTCCCAGAATAATTCTGTGCTGCCACCCTACCTGCCTGTCCCCATCACGGGGTACCAACCCTACTCCCAGGAGGAGATCAGCCACAAGAAGAGGGGTCCAGAGCCTGCTCAGACCCACCCACTCCCAGCCTTGGGTTTGATTTGATCCCCAGACCTCAGCGTAAGCTTCTCGCAGGGCCATCTCCAGCTTCTCCACTGTGAGCTGGAAGGGGCGTGTGTCTAGCCCAGTGACCTGGAAAAAGACCCATCAGAGCCACCAGCCAAATTCAGTGACCACTGTCTCCCAACGCATAGGAACTCTCGGGCCTCTCCTCCCCTGTAATCCCCAGCTCCTCAGAAGAGTCTCTGGAAAAGCAGGTGGGGTCCCTCCCTCTTACTGCCATCTACCCCCACCCCATCACATCAGGGACCCCCCTCATCACTCTTGGGTGCCATGCTTAGGTCTGCCCTCCTTGTTCCCACCTCACTGTCTCTGGGTCTGGCTCTTGGCTTCTGCGTCAACCCCAGGGATCTCAGAGACTGGAAAGTTGGAGCCACTGGGGAACCCAAGAATGTGAAGCCACACGGCAACAGAAGGCTCCATTCTCTACACATTGCAACCCAGAGCCCTCAGCATGGACTTCCTCCCAGGCCCACACTCAAATTCAAACTCAGGAAACTCTTGACCACAGGCAGGCCCAGGTTCTGCCTGGGAAGCCAAGACTCTTACCTCACTGTCCAGGTAGACATAGGCCAGTCGGACATTGCCATAGAGACAGACGTGCTGTGTGATGGCTCCATAGTAAGGGGTGGGGATCAGGAAAGCCTCTGGGGGCAGGAGCAGGTGAGGGCCTGTCGCTTTCTGGCCAGAACACCCCAGACGCTCTGTCCACCATCCCCACTCCCTCGCTAAGCCTTTAATTTCCTTGGGGACCGTGTGGGGCATGCTTGCACTCTCATCTCCCAAAACACTTTGGAAAGGTTGGATCCACTGAGGTCAGCCCCTGATATGGTTTCGCTGTGTCCCCACCCAAATCTCATCTTGAATTGTAGCTTCTGTAATTCCCAGGTGTCATGGGAGGTTCCTGGAGGGAGGTAATTGAATCCTGGGGGTGGGTCTTTCCTGTGCTGTTCTGGTGGTAGGGAATAAGCCTCACGAGATCTGACGGTTTGATAAAGGGGAGTTCCCTACCCAACCTCTCTTGCCTGTTGCCATGTAAGACGTGACTTTGCTCCTCATTTGCCTTCCACCGTGATTGTGAGGCCTCCCCAACCACGTGCAACTGTGAATTCATTAAACCTCTTTCCTTTATAAATTACCAGTCTCAAGTATGTCTTTATTAGCAGTATGAGAACAGACTAATACAGCCCCCTTTCTAATTGTTAACAGCTAACATTTGCTAAGCACTTACGATGTGGTGGGAACTCCACTGAACATTTATTTGTATTTTACCTCATTTGCTACTGACAATTAGTCTCCGAAGCAGGTACTTTGTATTACATTCTAACTTTATAGATGGGAAAGCTGAAGCTTAGAGGGCTCCTGTTCTTGAATATTCTAGAATGGGCAGGAAATTCCCTATTATTGTATCCTTACAATGAACCTCTCCTTCTGGTTCATATCCTGGTTACTGCCTCTCTTTGTGTAACTGTGACAAGTGAACCTCCTGTGTCTCAGTCACCTCATCTGTAAAATGGAGGTAACCACGGAACCAACCTCATTGAAATACTGTGAGGATTACATCAAATACGCAGCACAAAGTCTCAGGACAGTGCCTGGAACATAGTACTTGGTCAATAAATGTTATTAATATTCTTGTTGTTAATTAAGCTACCGTGAAGGGGTCCCTTTTCTTTGCAACTAATAAGCCCTGACCGTGACTGATTCTTAAAACGACCGGCTCCTGCAGCGGGCACGGATGGCCGGCTGCCCACACAACCGCCACTCCTATTTTCTTCCATGCTAAGAGAGCACCAGCTTTTTTTCAGGTATGACCCACACATGTCTAAGGAAGGTGGGCCTTCCCCTAGCCCTGGGGGACAAACCACACCTGGGTTAAGGCAACCCTGGTGTTCTTAGTCCCCTTTGCCAGGGACCATTTTGGAAATAGGTTTATGAGTGAATTCTGGTGAGGAAGACAGAAGGGGGCCTCTTCTGGGAAACACTACCCCCATCCCCATCTCCTGATAAAAAAGAGACAGGCAGGGCACAACCACATCCCCTTCTTCCCGCTCTAAGACACACTGTCATGTGAGGATGCGACAGCCACCTTATGAGCATGAGGCAGCCAAGGTCAGAGCAGAGAGAAAGCCCCGGACCCTGACACCAAATTAACCTCCCCTGGAATTGCTGCTGACCCCCGGGCACCTTATCAAGTCACTTGTTCAAGCCCCCTGTAGCCTAGTATATTCTATTGTGCCCCGAAGCATACTATTGCAGCCCTTGAGGCCAGGCAACTGGGGACCCTGCAGGCACGATGTGGCTCACAATGCACGGCAGGCCTCAGAGCTCACTTACCCCCGACCTCGCACAGCACCGTGGCCAGCGCAGAGAACAGCGAGGCACCACCATTCAGAACAACCACCTAAGGGCAACGTATCCGAGGGAAGAAGATGAACCAGTTCCAGGAGTCCGCGGGGACCCGCAGCCTCCCAGGACAGCATAGAGGGAGTGCCAGGCCCTGCCTTGGTGCCACCTGGGGAAGGAAGGAAGGAAGGAAGGAAGGAAGGAAGGAAGGAAGGAAGGAAGGAAGGAAGGAAGGAAGGAAGGAAGGAGGGAGGGAGGGAGGGAGGGAGGAAGGATGGACGGAGGGAGGGAGGGAGGAAAGGAGGGAGGGAGGGGGGAGGGAGGGAGGGAGGGAGGGAGGAAGGAAGGAAGGAAGGAAGGAAGGAAGGAAGGAAGGAAGGAAGGAAAAAGGGAGGGAGGGAGGAAGGAAGGAAGGAGGGAAGGAGGGAGGGAGGGAGGGAGGGAGGAAAGGAGGGAGGAAGGGAGGGAGGAAGGAAGAAAGGAAGGAAGGAAGGATGGATGAGATGGGGAGGAGAGGCAGGAGAACAAGAAGGAGCAGCGGCGGGATACTCACATTCTCTGGTCTGAGGGGTACTGGGCTCTTGCAGTAGAAAGTCAGGAACTTGGCTACTTCCTCCCGGAGGCTAAAGATAAGACAAACAGGCAATGCGTGCCAGAGGGTCCTCAGCCCACGGTGCATCGCAAAGCTCCTCTGGTGACTCCTCACGTGGCTGCCACCACTCCTTCCTAATTTCCCACGACGGGGGTGTGGGTGTATCTGTCTCACTCCTTAACACCCACCTTCCCCTCCCCAGTACCCACATGCACGGCAGTAGTTCCAGGATCCCCCCACAATCCAGAGACTTCAGGGATTATCAAAAGTAACACTCTATGGAGATCTAGCTAATGATACTAATAAACATTATTACTACAACATTAATTATTAGCACCATTACACTATTATTATTTTGAGATGGAGTTTCACTCTTGTCACCCAGGCTGGAGTACAATGGCCCAATCTTGGCTCACTGCAACTCTGCCTCCTGGGTCCAAGCGATTCTCCTGCCTCAGCCTCCCAGGTAGCTGGGATTGCAGGCATGTGCCACCATACCCAGCTAATTTTGTATTTTTAGTAGAGATGGAGTTTCGCCATGTTGGTCAGCCTGGTCTTGAACTCCCGATCTCAGGTGGTCCGCCCGCCTCAGCCTCCCAAAGTGCTGGCAGTATAGGCGTGAGCCACCACACCCAGCCTCAGCACCATTATTATTGCTCGTATTTTTTGAGCATTTACCTTATACAAATGTTATTCGGAATATGTTTACTTAATCTTCATAATAATCCCACGATGTGGCGATCACTGTCATTATTATCATTATTCCCACTGTACAGGCAAATAAACTACAAACTGAGGTTTAAAGGAATAATTAAGTCACTTGCTGGGAAGAGGCAGGGTCCTCACGCAAGCCCGGTGGTCTGACTCAGGGCCACCATCCTCGTTACTACGCTAGAAGAACCCGGGCTTTGCAATCAGTCTTGGGATCCAGTCCTGCTCAGCCGCTGAGCCCTAAGAACAGCGTCCCCGAACAAGTGTTCAGCAAGCGCAAGCTATTACCAGTGTTATTTACCACGTCCGCTCTTAGCATTAGGAAAAGGCCCCAGCCAGCTCCCCTGACAGCAATTCTGGCTTCTCTAAAGCTACCAACAAAGCAGGGACAAAGACACCTTGCATGAAGGCCCTCCCATGCTATAGCCCCGGGTTCCCAGAAACCAGACTAGAAAGCTCCTGTGCTGAGGTGGGACTGGCGGGAGACCCCACGGTCGCCAGGTTTCCAGCACTAGGTCCTCAGCCTACCACAGGCTTCCTCAGCCTGCCACTACTGATGTTTGGGGCTGGGACATACTTCACGGTGGGGGCTGTCCTGTGCATCGTAGGAACTTTAGCAACGTCCCTGACCTCTACACCTGACTTCCCAGTTATAACCACCAAAAATGTCTCCAGACAGTGCCACACATCCCCAGGGGGGCAAATTGGCCCTATGGCAACTACTTACAACAGATGTCCCCTCCAGTCAGGGTACTGCAGCAGAGACGGCTCCACCCACTGCATGTCGCTCTGACTCAGCTGGGGACAGAGATGGGAAGAGCAAGGCTGAAGGCTGGCACTGCTACCCACATCCACGGTACAGGGCAGGTAAAGCTGAACGCTTGTTCTGCTCATCAGAGAAACCGGGGGAGGGACAGACAGTGACAGCTTTCTCATACCCATGTTGCAGATGAGGAAACTGAGGTCCAAAAAAGTGACGTCACTCAGCCAAGGTCACAGAGCTAGCAAGCGGCAGAGCTGAGACAAAAACCCAAAAATTTTGACTCCTAGTCTGGTGCTCTTTTTTTTTTTGAGACAGAGTCTCACCCTGTCACCCAGGCTGGAGTGCAGTGGTGCAATCTCAGCTCACTGCAACCTCCACCTCCCGGGTTCAAGCAATTCTCCTGTCTCAGCCTCCTGAGTAGCTGGGATTACAGGTGTATGCCACCATGCCGGGCTAATTTTTATATTTTTAGTAGAGACGGGGTTACGCCATGTTGGTCAGGCTGGCCTCGAACACCTGACCTTGTTATCCACCCGCCTTGGCCTCCCAAAGTGCCGGGATTACAGGTGTGAGCCACCGCGCCCGGGCCTGGCGCTCTTTATACAACACTGCCACCTAAAAAAATTGGAGGGGTGAGTTTGCAGAAGTGGTAACCAGAGACCACACTGGCCAATACTTCTGTGGGGCAAGAGAAAACATTGAGAGCTCACACCTCAGTCTTGGCTCCAACTTCTAAAGGGACCTAGGCCACTGTCTTCCTGTAAGATCAGCCCAACCTCACACTTCGGAAAAAGCGGCAGTTTCTAGACCACCCACTCCGTGACCGGGTGCTAGGTTGGTAAGTCGTAGTATCATAGGTACTGTCTCAAAGAAGGACCAGCGCAGGGGCCTTGCGCAATGGGACCAAAAGGAAGAAAAGGAATCAGCCACTTCTGCATAACTGGATCCAGCCTTCCTGTCCCTCCTTTCCTCCCTTACAGCCACACTCTCCAGTATGGTAGCCACTGGCCACATGTGGCTAATGAACATTTGAAGTGTGGTTCATCTGAATTAAGACACACTGGATTTTGAAGACTTGGCAGGAAAAACATATGTAAAATATATCATTAATAATTTTTATATTGATGACATGCTGAAATGATCATACTTTGGATATATTGGGCTAAATAAAATATATTCTTAAAATTAATTTTTACCAGGCGTTTTTTTTAATAGAAAATTTAAATTGATAGATGTGGCTCACCTTTTATTTCAGTGCTTAGCTGCCTTAGAAGGAGGAGCTGGCTCTAGGTAAAACAGGCCTTTAAAATCTATTCCCTGGCCGGGCATGGTGGCTCACGCCTGTAATCCTAGCACTTTGGGAGGCCGAGGTGGGCGGATCACGAGGTGAGGAGTTCAAGACCAGCATGACCAAAATGGTGAAACCCCATCTCTACTAAAAATACAAAAATTAGCCAGGCATGGTGATGTGTGCCTGTAATCCCAGCTACTGAAGAGGCTGTGGCAGGAGAATTGCTTGAACCCAGGAGGAGGGGGTTGCAGTGAGCTGAGATCATGCCACTGCACCCCAGCCTGGGCAAGAGAGTGAGATGCTGCCTCAAATACATACATACATACAAAAAATCTATTCCCTATCACCCCCTCCCCTTGGAGTTTAGATTTCTCACCTTTGGAAATATGTTCTTTTGGAAGCATTGCTGTCTCTACAAACCCAAACTCTGCCACTGCCGCCTTGGTAAACACATTTATTAGACATTGGTGGTTTGCTAAAATGGCTCACCCCAGCTCAAGAAATCGGATTATAAAATTTTCAGAAATTTTGCAATCTGTTAAAAACAGCTACTTTAAAAGAGTAAATTAATATACACTGACAATGAAATAAATTATCTTACAAACAAAGGCGATAAGCACTCAACATCATCACCTGCTGATTTTCTAGGACCTTTTACTATCTGTGCTTTTGAGATCAGTTCTGTCTATGTGTCTGGTGAAAATATATAAAGTGTGCCCGTGTGCCTCTGCCTGCAGTGATATCACATCAATAGTTTGATATCGGTCATAGTGGGAGTATTTACACTATGGAAATTGGCAAAACTACACATCAGGACTTTTTTTTGTTCCCCTGAAGAGCTAATTGCTAGATACCTACACCACAAAGCACAGAGTGTTTCCGTCTGAGATCACGGGACCTAACACAGCAGGAGGGACTGAGTGAAAAAAGAGTCTGCAGAGATGAAGAAATAGGACTCGAGTGGGGAAGTAACTCACTTAAAATCACACAGAAAACTGTCCCAAAGTAGGCCTGGAACCCAGGTCTCCTGACTCCCAGGCCAGGGCCACTGGCCCAAGCAGCAGGCTCTTGTCAGGAAAGAATTCCAGGGAAGACAGCTCCTCAGAGCTGGTGAGGCCCCCCCAGAGGCGTCCTAGGACTTACCCGCCTGGACAGCAGGTCAAAGCAAAGTTTGTTCTCACTGGTGCCGAAGTTAATGATGCCCTGGAGATGAGAGGTACAGAGGCAGGGTTAGCATGGCAGAGGGGTGCCAGTGAAAGGCCCCAGAAGCCCATGGTGGCAGCAAGGCACAGTGGGAGCTCTCTGCAACCCCACCCTTTCAACCACCCCTCCTTTTGCTCAGGGTGTGCCTTCTGCTCAGCTGCCTGATCCCATCTTCCCATTTCTAAAGCAATGTCCAAATGCCATGTCCTCCAGGAAGTCCCCCCATAGCCCCACCTGGAAAGGATCTTTCCTTCTTCTGGATCCCACAGCGCTTGATCTGTCCCCTTTAAAGCACTGGTCTGTTTCCACCCCAGGTCAGAGGAACTGATGTGCACACCATATCTCCCCTACTGAGTGTAAGCTCCCTGAAGGACAGATGTGTGCTGAAGACACCAGTGTTTCTCTCGAGGGGCTTAATGGGACTCAATACACATTTATAGAATGAAAGAATACAGATGGTGCATTGGCAGTGTGGCAGGAACAGAAGCAAAGGTGGATGCAGATCAAGAAGAGGTTCCTTTGCCAGTGCAAATACTCCCTCAGGAGACCCTGACCATCGCACAGTGATCCCCACCCTACAGGCATTTATTGTCATAGGAGAGACAGGCAGGCATAACCCAAGCTCTCCCTTACAGAGGCCCCAGGGAGACTCGGTGCAGGCCTCATGCACAGCTAACTCCTGACCCCTGAGTTACTGAAAGGGGAGCAAAGGAAGGAAGACAAAAAAGTAAAATCTGAATGAGCTCAGACTATAACAAAGTAAAAGGCAGTGCTGCTGCATGCCCTGGGAAGCACGCTGGGAAGCCCCTTCAACACGACCAGTCTTTCCACACATCCTGGCAGCTCTCCCTTCAAAACACATGACAGTCCAACCATGACTCACCCTCCCCTGCTAGGACCCCAGTATGAGCCACCATCATTTCTTGTCTCTATGATTGCAACAGCTTCCCTCTGTCTGTGTACTCTCTCACCTGCCAAGTCAAATCTCCATACAGCAGTCCAAGTCATCTTTCAAAACCCAAAATCAGACCATACTGCTCCTCCTTGGAATACCTCCTATTCCACTTTGTCCAAAATCCGAAGGCTCACCAGGTCCTGTGGGGCCCTACGGGACCTGTCACCTCCACCTTCCCATCACCTTTCTGACCCCATCACCTGCTCATCTTGTTTTTGGCTTTATTCCAGCTCCAGTGGCCCCTCTGCTATTCCTTGAACTCATCAAGCACCATCCAACCCTGGAGGCTTTGCACGGGCTATTCCCTCTGCTGGAAATGCTCTTCCCCTAGATGACTGCAAGGCTCACTTGCTGTGGCGGGCAGCCTCTAAGGCCCTCACCTCCTGGTATTCACACCCCTTGAGTGTGTGCTGGGCCTAGCGAAATACTTCTAATGAACAGAATAGGCAGATGTGATGGGATGTCACTTCTGAAGTTAGGTTATAAAGAGACTGTGGCTTCCATCTTGGGTACCCATGACCTCTCACTCTCTCAAATCACTTGCCATGTGGAGAAGGACTGAAGCCTGCCAATAAGCGTGAGAGTGTCATTGGAAGCAGAGCCTCCCACCCACTCCCCTAGCCCCAAGTCAACCTTTCAGATGAGACCACAGCCCCAGCTTCACGGCACCTTCACAAAAGATCTTGGGGCTGAGCATAGTGGCTTGGCCAGGTGCAGTGGCTCATGCCCATAATCCCCAGCACTTTGGGAGGCCAAGGTGGGAGGATCACCGGAGGTCAGGAGATCGAGACCAGCCTGACCAACATGGTGAAACCCCATCTCTACTAAAAATATAAAAATTAGCTCAGCATGGTGGTGCACACCTGTAATCCCAGCTACTAGGGAGGCTGAGGCAGGAGAATCAATTGAACCTAGGAGGCAGAGGTTGCAATGAGCCGAGATTGTGCCACTGCACTCCAGCTGGGAGACTCAGTGAGACTCCGTCTCTCTCTCTCTCTCTCTCTCTCTCTCTCTCACACACACACACACACACACACACACACACAGATCTTGAGACTGAAGCATCCACCAGGATTCCTGAATTCCTGAACCACAGAAATTGTGAACTGTTGTTTTAAGCTGCTAGATTTGAGGTCATTTGTCATGGAACAATAGATAACTAATGGCCAGGTGTGGTGGCTCACGCCTGTAATCCCAACACTTCAGGAGGCCGAGGTGGGCAGATCACGAGGTCAGGAGTATGAGACCATCCTGACCAACATGGTGAAACCCCGTCTCTACTATAAATACAAATATTAGCTGGGTGTGGTGGCGTGCGTTTGTAATCACAGCTACTTGGGAGGGTGAGGCAGGAGAATTGCCTGAACTCGGGAGGCAGAGATTGCAGGGAGCCAAGATCACACCACTGCACTCCGTGCACTCCAGCCTGAGTGACAGAGCAAGACTCCATCTCAAAAAAATAAAGAAAAAAGATAACTAATACAATCCCCCACTTTTTCAAGGTTTCTGCTCAAATGTTCATCTTATTAAAATAGCCTTCTATGACCTCCTTCTACTAAAAGCAACATTCCCAGCCCACCCATCATTCTCTGTCTTTCTTACCCTGGTTTATTTTTCTCTGCGGTACTTACCACCCCATACAGTATGTATATATTTTTTCTCTGTTCATTCACTGTCTGTCTCCCTAACTAGAATATGAACTCCATGAAGATATGAACTTTGTTTCTGTTCACATCTATGTGGTAGATGCTCAACAAATAAAGATTATTAAAGGTTTGTTTGTAACAGCTTTCTGACTTCGGAAGGTATTACAAGAAGAGCTTACATAAGGGACAGAAAATATTAACAGCAGCTATCATTGATTGAGGGGCACTGTGCTAAAAACTTCATCTGCTTGCTCTCATGTAATCTTGTGTCTTCTACACAGCAGGTATTATTATTCCATTTTATTTTATTTTATTTTTGTTTTTTGTTATTTTGAGACAGGGTCTCACTTCGTTGCCCAGGCTAGAATGCAATGGCGTGATCTTGGCTCATAACCTCAACCTCCCAGGCTGAAGCGATCCTTTCCCTTCAGCTTCCCAGGTAGCTGGGACCACAGGTACACACAACCACACCCAGCTAATTCTTTTATTTTTATTTTTTATAGAGATGGGGTCTTGCTATGTTTTTCCGGCTGGTCTCAAACTCTGGCCTCGAGCAATCCCTCTGCCTCAGCCTCCCAAAGTGCTGGGGTTACAGGTGTGAGCCACCATACCTGGCCTTATTATCTCATTTTAGAGATAACTTAAGATTCAAGGGGGTTAAGTAACCAGCTCAGCAACACACAACCGATAAGTAAAATAGTTGCAACCTGAACCTTAGTTCTGCCCTAGCTCCAAAGTTGAATACTTGACAGGTCGTGGGTCATCATCCAAAGAAGAACACTGGATGGTTCTTGAATTCCTCCCTCACAAATCAAGTTCCCCTATACTCTAAATGGGCCATTTTCTGATCCAGGCAATACACCAGGGTCACTCTAAGCTACATCAGAAGCCCTCTTGGAGGTCAGAGAACCATAACCGCAACCTCACAAGAGCAGGCTGGATGCTGCCTTATTGGTCAAGGTAATGTACCCCACCCTGCAGTTCCCTCTTGGGTCCCAGCAGGAGGAGAGCTCCACTTACACTGGGGTTCTTGTCCTCATCATACTCATCCATGTGGTAGGTCCTGTAGCCCTCCTCAGCCAAATCCCAGAACCATTTAATCATTCTTCCTCTAGAGGACAGGTAGGAGGTATCAGAGGAGAGCATGGCAGGATCGCCCACTCCAGGGAGCTTCTGGTCCAGTTTTCTAGAGCATTCTCCTTCCAGATCATCCCCATGGCTACTATCCATGTCCTGCGTGCAGGTGGGGCCCAGACACGTGGTGGGAGCCCTGAAGTTCTTTTGAGAAAGGGTGAACATCTGCAAAAAGAGAAAATGCACAGAAATCAAGGGATTTCCATAGCACCAAGCATCAGAAAGGAATCAGGGTCCTGGGAATCCCCTTTCTCATATCTGCTGCCCCTTTCTTTAGGTTTATGGACTCAAATCCTACGTCCCTTAGTTATAACCATATGTACAAGGATGTCAACAAGAAAAATCTGTTCAGGACCTAGTATGTGCCAGGGACTGCACTTGCTACGTTGATGTGACTTTAATGCATTGCTGCTTTAGCGTGTTCTACTTCTGCAAAAGATTTTCAGTCGCTGCAGCCTAAGGGGTCATCAACATTCTTTTTCCATTCTTGCTCACCGCAATTACAAAATGCCAGGTTACAATTTCCTAGTTAAAGCAGAGCATTGCCTGGGGCCTTATGGTGTAAAAGGCAGGATGAGATTACGTGGTGGTCAGTGGCAGATGGGGGGGGGGATGGGAACTGAGGGGAGGGAAGAATGGGGGTCTCCACAAATGCAGGCACCCTAGGCAGAGCTTCAGGGCTTGCCTCTTCAGTCTTGAAGAAAGTAGGTGTGGACACCAAGTAGAGGGTGTTCTACTCAAGCCCGCGGGTGTGAACGCCTAGACCAAAGTTCAATAAACTGTGGGTCATTATATCATAACTCCTGGCCAGTTTTCCCAGTCCTGATACTCAACACAAGCTCTGACACACGGGGTGGACCAGAAACTCAGGGGGTACCCGCAGTTAAATTTTGCTTCTCAAAGTCTTCTTGCGGGTCCTCTCTAAATTGGCTGGGCTCTCCCGAGAGCGCTCACCTCAGGCTCTCCTGACAGCCCAGGTCCGAGGACGGGCAGCAGGGTGGGCGAAGGCCGGGGTGGGCGCAAAACCTGGTGCCTGGGGACGGCGAGGTTCGAGCCTCCAGGCGTCCAGCGGGATGGCGGCGAATCCACAGCCAGACACCCACACCGGATCAGGCCTTGGAATCCCGTAAGAGAGGCGGCTACCGCGCACCAAGAACCGAAACGGCCTTCTACAGGCCAGAGGACGCCTGGCGAGAGACGGATCCAGGCTTCCAGGCGGAGGAAGTGTGATCGGGGTCAAGGACTTTGAGATGGAAGGGCAGAGGCTTTTGCAAAGTGCACAGAGGGAGGCCTGAATGGCTTCCGCCTCTGCAAAGTGGGGGATCCCACCTACTTGGTGGAGCTGGAGGAGGCAGCGCTGGCACTCGGCGGGCACGCGTCACGTGTCGGTTCCCTCCGCCCGGAAACGCCCTCTGGCGCTTTACGCGCGGGTGAGGACAGCGCCGCCCTGCGCTCTGCGCGCCCAGACTAGGGGACCGAGGGCCCTCCGCCGCAGGCCGGGCTTCCGGGACTGTTCTGCGCAGTTCGTCCCCTCGCCACTCACGCCGGGGTCCGTCTCGGCTGGGCCTGCGCTTTAGGGGTCGCACACAGGATCGCCCCGCGGAACAGGGAGAAGGGACAGGGGCGGAGCGCCTGTTCCCACTCCCACTCTGGGTGGCGTGAGCTTGCGGGCCGCCTCCAGGCCGGGTCAGCCACCTCCCTCTGCCTCCTGGCCTTGGTTCTCCGGTTTTCAAAGGAGGTGAGCGCCACAGAAATGTCTTGGCAAAAGAACAGTTGGCTGCAACCTACACAAAGGGCTTTTTTAATTAGGGTGCAAATATCCTTATGGCCTTTCATTGCAGCTTGTGATTTCTGCCGCTTTCATTTGTAGGGGATTTTCTTTAGCCCTCATAGGTTCTTAGTTGGAGGAGACTCCTGTTACAAAAGACAAATTAACAAGAGAAAAACAAACAGAAGTTTACTGACATGTATATTTCGTTTATACATGAGAAATGCCGAGGGAATGAGTTGTTCTCAAAGAGGTGACTTTGAGTTACAGTTTTTACAGCGTCTTCAGCAAAGAACAGTAATTTTTTTAAGTTACGGGCAAAGAAATAGGACTTTGAATCTCTCCAGGAAGAACTTGTGAGGTTAAAAAAAAAAAAAAGGACAAATAAAAGCCATTTAACAAGCTTTGTACTGTAAGAAATGGCTTGTTACTGTAAGTTCCTCTGGTACCATCTCCAGGCCATAGGAGTCTGAAGTAGTCTTTGTTCTCCTAGGTAGACAGAGGGACAAGATACCTTTTGTCTTTGTAAACCTATGTCCTACTTTTTGGTAAATAGGACCAGGGTAGAGAGCTTTCCAGAATCTGCTGCTGCTTGTCTTTAGCCCAAGAATCCTTCATGTTTTGGAAAGGCATGCCTGCAATATTTGTTCCACTCTGGCTAGGCGTGAACATGCCTGTAATCCCAACATATTGAGAGGACAAGATGGAAGCATCCCTTTAACCCAGGAATTTGAAACCAGCCTGGGCAACATAGGGAGACCATGTATGTCTCTCCCAAAAAAAGGTTTGTTTCGTTTTTTGTTTTTTTGAGAAAGAGTCTCGCTTGGTCACCCAGGCTGGAGTGCAGTGGCGTGATCTCAGCTCACTGCAGCCTCTGCCTCTGGGGTTCAAGCGATTCTTCTTCCTCAGGCTCCTGAGTGGCTGGGACTACAGGCACACACCACCACTCTCAACTAATTTTTGTATTTTTAGTAGCGATGGGGTTTCACCATACTGGCCAGGCTGGTCTCAAACTCCTGACCTCAGGTGATCCGCCCACCCCTGCCTCCCAAAGTGCTGGGGTTATAAGCATGAGCCACCATGCCTGGTCAAAAGGTTTTTGTAAATTAGCTAGATGTGTTGGCATGTGCCTGTGGAGGCTGAGGTGGGAGATTCGCTTGAGCCCAGGAGGTAAAGGCTGCAGTGTGCCATGATCGTGCCACCATACTCCCACCTGGGGTTGGTGAGACTTGGTCTAAAAATATATAATTTTTAAAAGTATTTTTCAAACTCTGACCTAAGCTGTACATATTCTGGCAATGGGTGCAGTGGGCACCGAGGCCCCAGTAGAGCTGCAATCTCTGAGGTGCCTTGAATAGGAAAGTCTTCTTTCCCCCATGAAAGGAAATAAGCAGACTCTCTCAGTACGGGTATGGCTGGAAGACGTGGCTGTCTTCTGGCCATTCCACTTCTTGTCTTCATTTTTACCTTGCCACTAGCTAACACTGTGACCTTGAGCAACTCTCATGACTTTTTTGGCCCTCAGTGTTTTCTTCCGTAAGATAAGGAAGCCATCACTTTCCTCTATTTAAATCTTATTCTATGTAATTCAGATCTCAGTGAATGCCTGTTTTGTGCCAGGTCTTTGTAAAATGCAAAGATACGGTGATGAGCAGGACAAACCGAGGCCTGCATGGTCCACTGGGAAGGCAGATCTACAATGTGCAGACTATTGAAAAAAGACTATTTACTGGGTATCATGGAAGCACACAGCGGGGGGATTTAACTCCACCAAACAGCAAACACAGGCATCTGTCCCACGCGGAAGACATACACATTACATTAAATGCGAATTAACAAGATCAATTAAAAAATCATCAGACTGAATAAAACAGCAAGAATCTAGCATATGTTGTGTGCAAGAGACACACTTTAAATATAAAAACAAATGGTCAAAGGTAAAAATGGGGAAAAAAATACCAAGCAAATAATCACCATTAAAAAAAAAGCTGATGTGTTCATATTGATATCTGACATAGCAGACTTTAAGACAAAAAGAATTACCAAAAATAAAATGGGGCATTTTATCATAATAAAATGATGAGTTCATCAGGATGACAATCTTAAAAGTTTATGCTCGTAATAACAAAGCTTCAAAATACAGGAAGCAGAAACTGACAGAATAAAAAAGAGAAAATACAAGTCCATAATCATAACTGGGAAATTGTACACCACTGTCTCTCAGTGAAAGAATAAATGGATCAAAGACACTAAGGATCAGAAGTTTTGGACATTATGCTAAAATTTAATCTAATTGACATTTATAGAACAACATCCCCAATACCACAGAATATACTTCTTTTCAAGTGCAAATGAAACATTAAGATAGGTCACATGCTGCGAACAAATCGGGCCATAAACAGTCTTAATACGTTTCAAAGGATTGAAACCACAGAGTACATTGAAATCACCATGAAATTAAAGTAGAAATCATTAACAAAGAAAGCTGAACAATCCCCATATATTTGGAAACTTAAGTTACATATGCTAAGCAAGCCTTTGATTTAAAAAAAGAAATCACAAGGGAACTTAGAAAATATTTTGCCTGGTTAAAAACCAGCAGATCAAAGTTTATGGAATGTAGCTAAAATAATGCTAAGTGAGAAATGAATAGTTTTAAATGAATATATCTGAAACCTACTTAAAACAAATGATCTAAGCTTCCACATTAAGAAGCTAGAAAAAAATAGAGCAAATTAAACCCAAAGTAAATAGAAATAAAGATAAGAGCAGAAATGAAATAGTAGCAATAGAGAAAAATCAATGAAACCGAAAGTTGTTTCTTTGAAAAGTTTGATACAGTTGATAAACAGATCAACTGATCAAAAAAAACTCACTTTGTTGCAGAATTTTGCTCCTCACTTCATCTAAAACCAGGTTCTTGTCACACAACTGGGAAGGATGAGGAACATGGACACATTGAAGGGTGAGGGGAACAAAATTTATTGGGTGTAAAAGAAAAAAGAAAAATACTCTCAGCAAAGTGAAAGAGGGTCCTGCTAACAGGCCCCCACCTCACAGATTGAATCCCAGGCCACCACAGGGGAGCTGAAGAAGCCAGGCTCCTCCCCGCTGAGCTTAACCTGTAGCTTCCCTGGGCTCCGCCTTGTTCTCCCAGTGCACAGATGGGTTGGAGATTCTCTGGAGACCCTCCCCCTTATCTGTTTGCTGCATGTATCAATTTCAGTATCAGGAAATGAAAAGAAGATACAACTAAAGATCCTATGTACATATTAAAAGGATAACAGAATATGTATAACCAATTTTATGTCAACAAGCTCAGATGAAGTAAGTATGTTTTACTGAAAGGCACAAACAACTAAAACTGACACAAGATATAGAAAACTTGAACTATCACAGAAATTGAATTTATAAGTAAAAGCCTTCTCACAAACAAAGAAACAAACAAAAACTCTAGGCCCTTATGGTTTTACAGCTGAATTCAACCAAATATTTAAAGATTGAAGACGTTTTTCGGACACAAACTTCTAGAAAATCGAGGAAGGAACAGTTTCCCAAACATCTATGAAACCAGCATTAATCATGTTATGAAACTAACAATGCATTACAAAAAAATTATAGAATGATGTCCCTCTTGAATGTAAAATTCTTAAAATATCAAACCAAAGTCAATGGTATACAAAGGGATGATGCATCATGACCAAACAGGGTTTATTGCAGCAATGTGAAGTTGCTTTAACATTTTTAAGAAATCAGTGTAACTGGCCGGGCGCGGTGGCTCAAGCCTGTAATCCCAGCACTTTGGGAGGCCAAGGCGGGTGGATCACAAGGTCAAGAGATTGAGACCATCCTGGTCAACATGGTGAAACCCCGTCTCTACTAAAAATACAAAAAATTAGCTGGGCATGGTGGTGCGTGCCTGTAATCCCAGCTACTCAGGAGGCTGAGGCAGGAGAATTGCCTGAACCCAGGAGGCGGAGGTTGCGGTGAGCCGAGATCGCGCCATTGCACTCCAGCCTGGGTAACATGAGTGAAACTCCGTCTCAAAAAAAAAAAAAAAAAAGAAAGAAATCAGTGTAACTTACCACATTGATAATCAAGAGAAAAATCATCTTTAGAGATGTAGATTAAAAACATCTAACAATACTGAACCCTCATACATGGTAAAACTCCCAGCAAACTTGTAATAGAAGGAAACTTTATTAGATAAAGATTAGAATGAAAAATACGGTAACATTATACTCAAGAGAGGAAGATTGCACTCAATGCTGCTAAGATTGAGAACAAGGTAAGCCATCCTCTCTCACCACTTTTAGTCAACATTATACTAGAGGTTCTTTCAAAAGAGCTGTATCGGTTGGGTGTGGTGGCTCAGCCCAGTACTTTAGGAGGCCAAGGCGGGCTGATCACTTGAGTGCTGGGATTACAGGCATGAGCCCCACACCCAGCAAGAGACTTTAAAAGCCTTTCGGAAAGGTAAAAGTGGAACAAACTCTAGTATTTGGATGGAGAGTTGGAGACCAGCCTGGCCAACATGGTGAAATCCCGTCTCTACTAAA